AAGAAAGAAAAAAAGAAATCCATGACAATTTGCTCTGAATTGTTATTTATTGCTAAGTTGTGAAAAAGAATTTCACAATAGAGATTTTCCCTCCCATAAACTACAGTACATCATTCAATTGAGAACATCCCAATATCTCATCACTCAAAACTAGAAGGCAAATATTGCTTAGAAACCCTAGCTAATGCTATTAAACTTTATAGTTAAGAGCTAGATTAGTCTCTGAGTAGTATTTCACCAATAATGTACCGCATGGATACAAAGGTGAGGCATGGAAATCCTGATAGCTGCAACTTTTTTCTCACACAAAGAATTATCTGACAACAATCCCATTACCATTACATGTAAATTATACCAGAAAAGTTAATAAAGGATGGGATCCACCACAGCAATACCTCCCCCCCCACCCCTCCGTTCTTTTTTTCTCTCTGCAGGATTCCCTTCTTCATATGGTTACCCAACAGATAGGTAGCTAAATATGTAGCTAAGGAAAGGATATAAGATATGCAGACTCTTAGAAAGATACATCTAAATAACTAGCATATTTGTTGTATGGAAGACTAAGACCTAATTCAAGAAAGAAACAATTAAAGTAAAATTAGGATAATAATATCATAGTAGTCAGATTCACATTTCGATTGAAAAGTAACTTCCCCACTGTGCTGTCAAAGGTTGTCAAAATAGGGATTTTACCTAAGATTGGAAGGAAGAGATGAGATTGCAAATTGTGAGATTGCAAACAAGATCGTAAGATCCAAACAAATCAAAATTTTCTATTTTTATGACTAATATAAATAAATATAATCTATGTAAATACCTTAAAATAAAACATTTCAAGTTTGTTTAGCGATGAAATAAGCCCAAAATACAATACTTAGAAGTTTAAATACAAATCCTATAAAAAAACAGTTTAAATACAAATGGATTAATAGTCCACATGCAGAAAGAGACAGCTTAATAGTTTTCTTTATTTATTTTCATAAGGTGATTTGACAAGAAAGGACTGAAGGGGTCCTTTGAGCTTTCAATGGTGCGTGAAGAAAAATAGAAAAAGGAATTGGAAGAGCATTTTGGTAATTTAAAACTCGGTTGGCTCCAATAATCTGATACCGACTCTGTCTCTTCCAACTCTAACCTAGCACTCCTTTCTTCATCATCCATTTCGTTTTCTTTTGAAAATAGTGGGTTTGTCTGAAATTGCAACTGCGACAGTGATCAATGAAGAAGAAAGAAGAACAGTTTTGAAATTTGTGATCTGGGTTTTTTTTTTTTTTTTCCTTTTAATAACAGAAGTAGACAGTATTCATGAATTGTGAAATCACTCAAAATCGTGCAATTTCACAGATCACATTATCATAATCATGATTTCAGTGCGATTTATGTCCATTCCAATTACATATCGGATCTGAATCGTTTTGTATATTTGAGATCGTAAAATCACCAGATTTCACAACTTTGACAACTATTGTCATGCTGAAGACAGAAACACTCCCCCTCTCCCAACCCTCAAATTTAATTGAACAGAATCATACCACTAATGTCTTCAGGGAAAAGTCAACCTTGGAAACTTATACCTAATAATCTCTATGATTTTCAAATGCGTATTCTTTGCTTGAATAGGTTAATTATTTTCTTATACTTACAACCCTTTCCAATTTTATCAGATGTCCCCAAGGGGACACTTAAAACTCTTTGAGAGAATTGAATGATTGATGTTCTACATTAATAGCAAATCCAAATTCGAAGTTCAGAATTATCACCCGCCCTCTTCAATGGTAAAGGTGTACAACCGTGTTAACAAAACAAGTGCTTTTATATAGTTTCTATATGCAGGACAAGCTGCATGCAGATCTAGACACAAAACCAGCAAAAATTAACCAGCTCATAGTGTAATCAATTCAGACACTAACAAACGATATTTGATCATGTTAGATGCACAGAATCGAACCAAAATCAAATAAATTTGAAGGGTGGAAGGATAGAAAGCTTACCCACTAGTATCAATTACGTCTCTTGAAATCTTCATCTTCTTGGTAGTTCCTTTATACAAATCCTCCAAGCTGCAAGGCAACGTCCGTTCTATGGCGGGCCCTTTTCTCGGCATGGCAGCCGAGCCCTCCCCAGCTCCGCCACTAAACCGCGAAAAGATGTCGTCTGGAAACATACTCCTGTGAAAGCCGGAAGCACCCGCACGCGACCCGCCCATGTCGCCCATTCCCCCAAACGGTCTGGAAAATCCAAAAAAGTCCGAGAATATATCATCTGGGTTCCTCGTGCTGAACCGGAAGGTCGTCGGGCCACCATCTGAGAACCCACCTGCCTCCGGAGGTGGCACCTGTCCCTTCAATCCTTCTTCACCGTACTGATCATAAACTGCACGCTTTTGGGGATCGCTTAAAACCTGTAATTAGCAAGAATAAGCGGAAAAAGAAGAGGAAAAAATTGTTGATTTAATACAAAGAAAAATTCCTTCTTTTATTTTTTTGGTTGAAAATTCACATCGTAAGCTTCAGAGATTTTCTTGAATTTGGCTTCAGCTTCCTTCTTGTTGCTAGGGTTTTTATCAGGATGCCACTTCATGGCGAGTTTCCGATACGCTTTCTTCAAATCTTCATCATTGGCATTCCGATCGACCTGAAGAATCTTGTAGTAATCCACGCCCATAATTTTTTGTTTTTCTTGCCTCCGAATTTCTGCTTCTCCTTCAATCTCCGGCTCAGCCTCGCCTGAGTTTTATTTTGGAAGGAAGTGCCGGAACGGAATTGGCAACTGGGGGAAGTTGGGACTCGGCTCGGGTGATATAATATCAGGCCCATGAAAACCAGGCTAAAAATTCGTATCCCGGCCCGAAACTTCCATTAACCAATGGGCGAAATTATTATTATTATTTTTTTTTTTTTTTCCCTTCTTGTATTGCGGTATTGTGGAACACAGACTTATAGATATAGTCACGTGGAAACACGTTGCTTAGAGGATTGTCCCCTTGAATGTGAAAGACAACCCTCATCTGAGGATTATGATTTTATTTTGTTATGGTTTAGTATAATTTAAATTTTAAATTATAAAACTGCAAACATAAGGAAAAAGTAACACAACCAAGGAGAATTTTAAGCTTTT